TATTCTCAGTTCATTTAAATTATGTATTAATTTATAGAGTGTGATAAAGGGGATGAGGAAATGAATGTTGAGGAATCAAGCAAACAGTGAGGAAAACTGTCACTGCTAAGAAATCTCTTGTCTTAGATATTTGATATTTCGATTACTTACAATTTTGGCATTCTCAAAGTCATTGTTAACTGAATGTTTCTTTGAGAAGCAGGTGGATCAAATCTTAGAGTTGCAATGGATAGAGGTATAAAAATGGACGAAGGATAATTGGTGTATGTTTATGACTTTGCATGCATTAAATGACTGATCATGAGCAAACTTCTGCACTCTCCCACCCCCTGTGTCAGTGGGTAAATTAGTCTCACAAACACTGAGTGAGAATGACACAAACAGCATGATGTCTGTTTTCATGTGCTGTCTAGTGCCAGAGGAGCTGACTAGGTACATGTTAGGGCCATAGACTGCTATTCACTCTAATTCCAGTTAGGAGAAATTCCTGGGTATTATAGTAATGGGTACTCTCTAAAAGTGTAATCAAACACAGTTGTAAGTACTTTGGAGAGAATAAAGTTTCTTTCGGAGACAGAAAGTCACCTAGGGCCTTTGTACACCAAGCTGTATTTCTCAGTGGCCATTCCTAAGTAATATCAATTACCTGAGGTAGGAAAATGTCCTCCCCCCTCAAAAAAAAAAAAAACCGACTCCAAGGACCACAGCAATTACTTGACCACAGCATCCAGGATAATTTAACTACATTAGTATCTGTAGCCAGTGGTAAGTATTGAAAGCAACTTAGCATCCAAGAAGATGCACACATGGCACTAGAGAAACATCTCTTTTTTTCTTTTTTATTTCTAGATGCTTCAGGAGCAGATCTACTTGTGGGCCTCATATTCTTGGCGACTGGCCCAGTAGACTCTGTCACAAATTACTACCAAATTTTGCCTCTTTTTCCAAAACCTGCCCCATGCTAGATGTTGAACGCAGCGGTTCTCTACCATTGAGCTACATACCTAGCCCCTAGCCCTTTTTATGTCAAGACAGGTCTCACTAAGTTGCTCAAGCAGTCCTCAAATCTGCGATCCTATCCTTCTGCTTCAGCCCTTTGAGCAGCTGGGATTATAGGCATATAGCACCATGCTCAGTCTTTCTGAAGTTTTTTTTGTTAATCTCCCACCCCCTTTTTTCCTCATAGGGATTGAACCTAAATAGCCTTCAAACTGAGCTAAATCCCTAGTCTGTTGTATATTTTTTATTTTGAGACAGGGTCTCACTAAGTTACTAAATTGCCTAGACTTTCAGTCCTCTTGACTCAGCCTCCTAGAGTGCTGGGATTAAAGGCACACAGTGCCATGCCTGGTTCTTTTGTTAATTTCTTAAGGGACAGCAGAATGTTTCCACATACAACACCAGGAATAAATTGCAATCTTTTTTTCTGTCTTCTGGTTATTTTTTATTCAATTTCATTTTATTTCCTGTTTTAAAAACCTATCCTCTTAATTTCATGATTGTTACCCAGTTTACTCTGTAAGATTTAATTTCTTAGCGTGGCAGTATCAACTCAGTTTTGGAGACATAGGTTTTCAGATTTAAGAGCTGTAGGGCCGGGGATTTAGCTCAGTGGTTCTGCCGCCTGCCTCAAAAGCACAAGGTCCCGAGTTTGATCCCTAGTATAAAAAAAAAAAAAAAAAAAGAGTTGTGGTTGCTTTCATAAATCAAACATCTGAAAAGGCCTTTTTCAAAGTCATCGAATCTGATCCTGTCCTCTTGTTGTTGAGAAGCTCAGGTATAGAAAAGGTACTTGCCAGGTACTGTGTCACATAGCAGCCAAGGGGCCTAGAAGCAGGTCAGCAGGTCATCTAACTTCTAGGATGCTAGGTTTGCATCAGAACTGCCTTCCCCCTCTTGTAGCTGATGGCTGTGATGTCATGTGTCAGGAAGCTACATTATTGTAATGTCCTTGATGGATGTTGGCCATGTGAACTGCATTGCTTTTTCTGGGTTCGCATCTCTGGCAGCTTTCACCTGGGTACCTTTTTGTTGTTTGAGTTTGGAGCAGTGACTGCAAGGTGAAGTGACCAGAGTATCTGCTCCTCATCCTGCAATGTCAATGAGCTTTGTCCTCAGCTTTAGCGCCAGGAAGAGCATTGACTCCAGACGAAGGAGTAAATCCCCCAAGTGCTGTTTTCTCCTGTGCTTGTGGGACCATAGGACTGGAGAAATAAGGATTTGTTTGAAAGTAAATATGTATTTTATTTATTCATTTTCTTAAACTATTTCCTAGCTTGTCTTGTTTTTTTGAAAAGTACATCATGACTTTTTAGTACTAACCAGCCTGATCTTTTTGGTAGAGTATAATTTGGAAAAAACATTAAGTCCTAGGCAAACTAAAATGGTTGATTCTCCTAATAGTATGTTTTAAGGAAAGCAAAAAGATTTTCTCATGTCATAAATAGAATATTTATTTTAAAATATTGCTTGTTTTATTTTACCTCCTTTGATATTTGTCTTTTGTGTTTGCTTTATGCTATGCTTTTGAACTAATATTATATACATTTATATAACTTGAAAAGGAAATGTACACATATTCCCTGTGCTAGCTTATTTTTCCCTTTGATGTTTGTGCCATTGAAAGAGCTGGTATTGGTTGCCTTTCACAGTTGGGGATGTGAGGAGGATGGGTCTGTGGACACATCATCAGCTACATGAATCTCATAGGGTGCAGAAGTTTGCTAGAGATTTGGCAAGTGAAATGGTGCTGCTGGATTTATAGAGAGATGAGTATTGCCATATTTGGGGAATTTCTTGACATAGATTTCTGACCACACATGTCACGTAGAGGATCAACAGAATATAAAACAGCAAATATCTAATTCTTTCAGTTTGTGAACTTAAAATCCTTTTTTAAAAAGTGGTATAAGGAAGTATTGAAAGGGGGTTTTACTGCTTTTTGAGAACACATGTATAGACATATTCAGTGTATATTTATACAATTGCTTTCTGTGATTTGGAAATGTCTCGCCGGTCATTTTTTAATTTTATTTACCTACTTTCTATTCATATTTTTTCTTTAGTGTTTGTTTAAAGAGTCTTCCTCCAGTTTTGGGCTATATTGGCCATGTACATAATACACAATATCGAAAGGGTTGATCATAAATTCTGCAAGCTTTTTGAAACATTTTCCTTCTTAAAAGAGTATATCCTCTTACATCTGAATATAAATGTACAGAATAAGGTGTGTAAGTTCACATGATTTTATTTCATGCTTTTGCTGTATACTTAACAGGGAAATGTAGAGCCCATTGCATAATCCTCACGAGACAATTGATCCTGGGATTGAATAAAACCAGTCCTTTTTGGTAAGAAAATAGGGTGTGTTTAGTCTTTATCACTCATTTTATTAAGTAGAGTTCAGCAGGCTGGTTCAGGGCCTACTACTTGTAGTCACAGCTGTCAGAGTCACAGTCCTTCTTAAATCAGATGGTGTCTGTTCCTGCTGGAGGAGACCAGGCCGAGACAGGACTTTGAGGAAAGTTTTTTAAGAGGCCTTCAGTGGAGACTGGTGGTGGTAGAAGTATAGAGGCAGTATGCTAAAGAAATGGGTACTAGGCAAGCCAGTCAACACATCAGTCAGTGGTAAAACAGGGTCTGTAGGTAAGGGAGAAATAGTTTTATGTGTATCAGCCACTTCTTTCTAAGTGCCTTATGAGTTTAATTACAGTGGATTTTGTTTTTAATGGGCTTACAAATTCTACATACATTGCAGAGGAAAAAAGGAAATCACTGGCTATATACAGAAATTTTTGTTTCTATTTTTCAAACACTACCCAAACAATATTTCACTGTGTGTGTGTGTGTGTGTGTGTGTGTGTGTGTGTGTGTGTGTGTGTGTGTGTATTTCCTGGGAAGTGGGGGTGGTACAAGTGACCTAAGAAAAACTGTAAGAGAAAAGCTAAAGAACTAGCAATCCTGAACATGAAATACTAATTAAGTCACATATCTGATTAAATTATCTGTATAGCTCATTTGGGGTTCTTTATGTGTGTGTTAGTCACTTTCCAGTTGGGATAACATACCTGACATCTGCAACTTACAGGAGGAGGGGTTTATTTTGGCTCATTATTCCTGTGGATAGAGCCCGTGGTTGACTGACTCTAAGGCAGAAACCGTATGGTAGAAGGGGCTGGCAGAGGAAAACTATTCAATGCATGGCAGTCAGAAAGCAGAGAGAAGGAAGGAGCAAGTTGAAGAAAAGAATACACCTTTCCAGGTCAGGCCCCAAGTAACCTGCTTCTTCTGACAGACTAGACCTCAACTGCTAGTAGCACATTCAGCTGTGAAGTGAACAATTGAATAACCTGCTGACTGAGGATAATCCCCCATAATTCAATCACCTTCCCAAAGCCCCACTTCTGAACACATGAGACTTTAGGGAGGCATTTCACATCCAAACTATAACAATGTATATGCTAATAAAAATTTAGCAGATAAGTCTTCACATTTTCATAAAAGTTTGAGATAAAACTTCATTATTTGAGTGTTTTTAATATAAGAAACTTTACATTTTCCTGCTAGAGTTGTGAATTGAATTTGTAGTTTTATCTTGGAATTATTTAACTCAGTAATTTTGTACTTTTTTCCCCTCAGTACTGAGGACTTGGATTTTGACACCGTATATGTGCTTTAAAAATATTAATATAAAATAAGAACTAGCATAGTAACACTGTACTTTTCTTTGGAAATTACAGCTTGTATAGGAGACATTTCTTTTCTTGGTACTGGGGTTCAAACTCAGGACCTTGCGCTTGCGAGGCAGGTGGAACCACTGAGCTAAATCCCCCCAGCCCGAAACATTTATTTTCTTTGTCTATAATAGATTTGGTCATTTGAGAGAACAATTCATAGCTGCTATTAAGCTGATTGAAATAATAAGTATCTTTTACTTTTTGCCTTCCTTAGTTTATTGTCCTTAATATAGGGGTGTATAAGTTTTTCCCCTTCTTTTACAGGTATTCTTTAGGTGATGCTAGGAGACCTCTTCATGAAACAGTGGTTTTGGTAGAAGATGTGGTACACACTCAATTGATTAATCTGGTAAGAGCATATATAATCTTATTTGCTATCTCTTCTCTGCATTCTGCTTTTACTGGGGGTTGTAACCCAATATGTGTTTTAAGATTTTATTTACAACCAGAATTCTTTGTGTCAGTTTTATTGAGATACAGTTTATATATAACAGTATTTATGGTTTAAGTACATAACCTCATGAGTTTTGACAATGGAATACTGCCACATGACTACCAGTGCAGTTGTAATATAGACATTTCTCACCATCTAAAACTATTCCCTGTTCCCCTGTGTGGTCAGGCCTCTTCCCCAACCCCTAGCCCTTGGCAGCCACCATCTACTTTCTGTCACTCTGACATTAGGTGGTTTTTTTTTTTAAGAACTTGAAGTTTTTTTTTTTCATTTTGAATTTTAGACTTACATATAAAATTTCACAAATGGTACCAATAGTTCCAGATAACTGTCACTTTCCTCTTATATTCGCATATTATATAACTATTTTTACAAATTTTTGGCAAGATTACCACAGAAGTGACAAATCCTTCTCAATGCATCATATCCGAGCCTCATATTAATATGTCATATTTATGTCACTAACCTTAATAACTTATTAAAGGTAATATATGCTGAATTCCTCCCCTGTAAAGTAACATCTTTTTTTTTCATTCTGGTGCTGGGAATTGAACCCAGGGAATTATGCATGGTATAAGTACTAACACTGAGCTACTTTCCAAACCCAAGTTAATATTTTTTAATTTCTTGGCTCATAAGTATATTGTGGAGGTATTTCACGCCTCTTTTCCTTGAATATTTTTGCCTCTTCATTTTCTCAGTCATCAGTAAATTATATCTGTGACAGTTACTACTATGGTACATCCTTGTGGTGATTTTCTGTTTTCTGCTTTCCTTTTGTATTTATTAATTGAAAATCTTCTAAAAAGAAAACTTGTCACCTGTCTCCATTTATTAATTTCCTGTGTATAATAGTATGGATCCATGGGTATCTCCTAAGTTTTCTGTTGTCATTATTCCATATCATCATTATTTTTAATTCTCCCTGTATTCCAACATTGACCATTAGGAGTTCTTTCATGGTCCTTTTCACATTTTTCTATTGGGTTTTGATCTGTCCCATCTATCTTAGGGGTTTCCATCATTTTTCTTTGGTGTGTAGTACAAATGTATCATTTTATTGTATCAGTTGTAAAGGTTACCTTTTAACTTTGTATTTTGGGGCTTTGTTTGGCTTGCACATATTGTTAATGTAGTCAAAAGCATCAGTCTATTGCCTTTGGAGTTTGAATCATAGAACACCATTTCATATATTGAATTTAAAGAGGAATTCACCCATATTGTTTTCTAGTATTTATATAATTTCATTTTTAACACTTACATTTCTAATGCATGTGTAATTTATTTTTTAAATGAATTTTATTGGTACATTTTAGGTATACAATATAATGACATTCATCACTGGAAATTTGCACCTTTACATAATCTCTCTTGGTTCTTATTATTTTCCCCATTCCCCTGCCCTCCCTTCAACCCCTCCATCCCTCCCTATGTACAAAGACTTTGTTTCCATTTTTTCATTTTCTCATATTCCATTCCCTTCTTTCCTTTCCCCTACCCCTCCTACTTCCCCTTCCCCTTTGCCCCTTTTCTTCCTATTTCACATTATCTGTTATACCGTTTAATCCTCATTTAAACTTTAAGTTTCTCACACTAGAGAAGCTACTCAGTATTTACACATGTGTCCTAATTATGTCACTTAAGAGTATGGCCTCAATGTGCATCCATTTAGCTATAAATGTCTCAAATTTCTCGTTTTTCGTGGCTGAGTAGTACTCCATTTTATTTTTTAAAAACTCCACATTTTCTTTATTCAGTCTGCAGTTGATGGGCATTTGGGCTTCTTGCAAGTTTTAGCTATTGTAAATTGTGCTGCTATGAACATGGGTGCACATATATTACTGTGGTATGATTCTTTTAATTCTTTGGGGAAGATACACAGCAGGGGGATAACTGGGTCAAATGGGACTTCCAGTCCTGTTACTTTGAGGTATCTCCATACTGATTTCCACAGTGGTTGCACCAGTCGACAGTCTCACCAGTAGTGGAGCAGGGTTCCTCTTTCCCCACAGCCCCGCCAGCATTTGTTATTGGTTGATTTCATGATACCAGCCATTCTTTCTGGGGTGAGGTGGAATCTCAGCTTTGTTTTCATTTTCATCTCTCGAATGACCAGTGATGTTGAACAGTGTTTCATATGTTTATTTGCTATTTCTACTTCTTTATCTGAGAAATGACTGTTCACTTCAGATGCCCATTTTTGGATTGGGTCTTGAAATTTGGGAGGTCTGATTTTTTAAAGTTCTTTATAGATTCTAGAGAGTAGATCTTTGTCTGAGGAAGAGCAGGTGAAAATTTTTCCCACGTTATCGGTTGTCTCTTCACACTGCTGGTGGTTTCTCTTGCTGTGCAGAAGCTTTTTAGTAAGAAGAGATCCCACTTGTTGATTGTTTGTGCTAGTTCATG